CGGGGGCGGGGGGGCGGGAATGGGGGAGGATAGGACACTTTTAGGAAGGGAATCTACACGCTAATGAAACCAGACAAACACAAGGGGGCAGGACGAGCTCAAGCTCTGACTTCAGAACCTGTGAGTGAAATGGGATCTAAACTATTTTAGTTCGCCCTCCGGATATTTATCAATGCTCTTGGCATGCAAAGAAACGTGATGCTGACAAGTGGGTTTAGTTTGTACTTGGTCTAATTACTGCGAAGAGGACAGGAACGTCTCTAATGACAGCTATCCTTACAGCGGCGGCTTGGGCAGAGCCTGGGGCTACATTCCCTAGAACTCATTCTTTGGTGGGAGAATAGCGATTCTGACCAGACTGCATTTCTCACGCATTCCAAATGCCCTTTTTTCCTTTTACTCTGTGAACTTTGGTTGCAATGGAGGGACTTGTTAAAAACTCACCAATCCAAGGACTGTGCCCGTGGTAATTTACCAGCAGAAGGCAGCGAGGCCGGGGGGGGGGATGGGGGACAACCTGCTCTAGCTTTTCTAGCTTTGGCTTCTGGCTTTTAATTCCAGCTGTCCTTCTCTGGCGAGCATGTCCCAGAGTTTCTTCTCAAACTGCTCTGGTTTCCTATTCAACCTTCCAGTGGCATTGTGTCTAACTTTCCGCTCGGGTTTGCAAGTTTCCGTGAGAAATGACAATCCCCTGCGCGGGATTTACTGAATGGGGGAGGGGGCGGCTAAAGCGGGTAACCCTGGATCGCAGGCGGATGAAGGAGTGAATCCAGCACAGCGGTGGGTCCCGGCTCTGCGCGAGCCCAGATCGAGCTGCCCACAGCGAAGCGCGAGCAAGGGCGGGCACTCCGGGACGCTTCTCCCCGCGCTTCCACGACAACCTGTTGCGCCTCTGTCTCCTCCAGTCCCCGCAGTTTCCCCGCCTTGGCCTCCAACAGCTGATTGGCAGAAATCACCACCCAATCCTCGATTCGGGGCCTCCTCCCGGGTCCAACGATTGGCCTCCTTGGGAGGACTGGAGTGAGGGGGTGCGAGAGGAGGGATTTCCCTCAAAGCCCGGGTCGGGGAACCTGGGAGGTGGGCTGGAGGGACTCAGTTCGCGCGACTGAGGAGCGAGCGGCGGCGCCGGTCGGGCCGGGAGGGCTTAGCCTCCGGGGCTGCGGCTCCAGCCCGGACCGCGCCGCGCGGCTTGCCCGTACTTCTGGCCCAGCCCCGGCTGGGAGGAGGACCCCGCGGGGGGCGCGAGGCGCTCCCGGCACTTTCCGGAGGTGTTTCTTGGTGCCTGCCGGGAGACTGACTTTGCGCGCTCTCCGGCTGACCTGTCCGAGCCCTAACACCCGGACCATGCACACAGCCGGGCCCCCCGGGATCGGCTCCCGCGCGCGCCGGACAGCCAACGCCACCAGCTTTCAGCCAATACCTCCGCCGCCGCCGCCCCGGCTGCTGCTGCTGCTGCTGCTTCTCCTGTCACCGGTAAGCCGCGTCGCAGCACAGCCCGCTGCCACCGGCCGGGCGTTGCTGTCCCCGGGTCTCGCGGGGGCTGCGGGGGGCCCTGCCGAGGAGGCCATAGTGTTGGCGAACCGCAGACTCCGGGTGCCCTTCGGCCGTGAAGTCTGGCTGGATCCGCTGCACGACCTGGTGTTGCAGGTGCAACCGGGGGACCGCTGTTCGGTGACCGTGCTAGACAACGACGCGCTGGCCCAGCGGCCAGGCCGCCTTAGTCCCAAGCGCTTCCCGTGTGACTTCGGCCCCGGCGAGGTGCGCTACTCGCACCTAGGCGCGCGCAGTCCTTCGCGGGACCGCGTCCGCCTGCAGCTGCGTTACGACGCGCCCGGAGGGGCGATAGTGCTGCCGTTGGTGCTGGAGGTGGAGGTGGTCTTCACCCAGCTGGAGGTTGTGACTCGGAACTTGCCTTTGGTCGTGGAAGAACTGCTGGGGACCAGCAATGCCCTGGACGCGCGGAGCCTGGAGTTCGCCTACCAGCCCGAGACGGAGGAATGCCGCGTGGGCATCCTGTCCGGCTTGAGCGCGCTGCCGCGCTATGGAGAGCTCCTCCACTACCCGCAGGTCCCTGGAAGTGCCAGACAGGGAGGCGTCCCGGAGCCTCTCCTGATGGACTGTAAAGCTTTCCAGGAGCTAGGCGTGCGCTATCGCCACACAGCCCCCAGTCGCTCACCAAACAGGGATTGGGTGCCCATGGTAGTGGAGCTGCGTTCTCGAGGGGCTCCTGTGGGCAGCCCGGCTTTGAAACGCGAGCACTTCCAGGTGCTGGTGAGGATCCGAGGAGGGACCGAGAACACTGCGCCCAAGCCCAGTTTTGTGGCCATGATGATGATGGAGGTGGACCAGTTTGTACTGACTGCCCTGACCCCGGACATGCTGGCAGCTGAGGATGCTGAGTCTACCCCTGACCTGCTGATCTTCAACCTCACCTCTCCGTTCCAGCCTGGACACGGCTACTTGGTGAGCACCGATGATCGCAGCCTGCCCCTCTCCTCCTTCACTCAGAGGGATCTGCGCCTCTTAAAGATTGCCTACCAGCCCCCCTCTGAAGACTCGGACCAGGAGCGTCTCTTTGAACTGGAGCTGGAGGTGGTGGACCCGGAAGGAGCAGCCTCAGACCCCTTTGCTTTCATGATAGTGGTGAAGCCCATGAACACACTGGCTCCGGTTGTCACCCAGAACACTGGACTTATTCTCTATGAGGGTCAGTCTCGGCCGCTCACAGGCCCCACAGGCAGTGGACCACAAAACTTGATCATCAGTGATGAGGACGACCTAGAAGCAGTGAGGCTGGAGGTCGTGGCTGGGCTCCGGCATGGTCACCTCGTCATTGTGGGTGATTCTAGTGGCAACACTGCTCCCAAGACCTTTACAGTGGCTGAGCTGGCAGCCGGCCACGTGGTGTACCAGCATGATGACAGAGATGGCTCACTGAGTGACAACCTGGTGCTTCGCATGGTGGACGGAGGAGGCAGGCACCAGGTACAATTTCTGTTCCCCATCACCTTAGTGCCTGTGGACGACCAGCCACCTGTCCTTAATGCCAACACGGGGCTGACACTGGCAGAGGGTGAAACAGTGCCCATACTGCCCGTTGCTCTGAGTGCAACTGACATGGATTCAGATGACTCTCTGCTGCTTTTTGTGCTGGAGTCGCCCCCCTCAGCTGCAGGGCATCTGCTTCTCCGTCTAACTCATCCTCCCCACGAGGAGCAGGAGCTTCTCAGGGGCCTTTGGAGGAAGCAGGGAGCATTCTATGAGCGAACAGTGACAGAGTGGCAGCAGCAGGACATAACGGAAGGGAGGCTGTTCTACAGGCACTCTGGGCCCCATAGTCCTGGACCAGTCATGGACCAATTCACCTTTAGAGTCCAGGATAACCATGACCCCCCTAACCAGTCCGGGCTGCAGAGGTTTGTGGTACGCATTCATCCTGTGGACCGCCTCCCTCCAGAGCTGGGCAGCGGCTGTCCCCTTCGAATGGTGGTGCAGGAATCCCAGCTCACACCACTGAGGAAGAAGTGGCTGCGCTACACTGACACAGACACAGATGATCGAGAACTGCGTTACACAGTGACCCAGCCCCCCGTGGACACAGATGAAAACCACTCTCCAGCCCCACTGGGCACCTTGGTACTGACTGACAACCCCTCAGTCGTGGTGACCCATTTTACCCAAGCCCAGATCAACCACCATAAAATTGCTTACAGACCCCCAAGTCAGGAGCTGGGAGTGGCTGCTCGGGTGGCCCAGTTCCAGTTCCAGGTGGAGGACCGAGCTGGGAATTGGGCTCCAGGCACCTTCACCCTTTATTTGCAGCCAGTGGACAACCAGCCACCTGAGATCCTCAACACCGGCTTCACTGTTGAGGAGAAGGGCCACCACACCCTGAGGGAGACCGAGCTGCATGTGAATGATGTAGACACTGATGCTGCCCACATCACGTTCACTCTCACACAGGCACCCAAACATGGCCACATGCGAGTATCTGGACAGGTACTGCATGTACGGGGGCTCTTCCACTTGGAGGACATAAAACAGGGCCGAATTTCCTATGCCCATAACGGAGATGCGTCCCTGACTGACAGCTGCTCCTTGGAGGTCAGCGACAGACACCATGTGGTGCCCATCACTCTCAGAGTGAATGTCCGGCCAGTGGACGATGAGGTGCCCATGCTCAGCCTTCCTACTGGCACTCTAGAGTCCTATCTAGATGTCTTAGAAAACGAGGCTACTGAAATCACTGCCAATGTTATTAAGGGGACTGATGAGGACACCGATGATTTGATGTTGACCTTCCTATTGGAAGATCCGCCCTTGTATGGGGAAATACTGGTCAATGGAGTACCAGCAGAGCAGTTTACCCAAAGGGACATTTTGGAGGGCTCTGTCGTCTATGCGCATACCAGTGGTGAGATAGGCCTATTACCCAAAGCAGACTCTTTTAACTTGAGTCTGTCAGATACATCTCAAGAATGGAGAATCAGTGGCAATGCTATCCGAGGAGTTACTGTGTGGGTGACCATCCTCCCTGTCGACAACCAGGCCCCAGAAATTTCTGTGGGTGAACGGTTTATAGTAATGGAAGGTGATAAAAGTGTTATAACCTCCAGGCATATAAGTGCTGAAGATATTGATTCCCTGAATGATGACATCTTATGCACTGTAGTGATACAGCCTACCTCAGGTTATGTTGAAAACATTTCTCCAGCACCAGGCTCTGAGAAATCAAGAGCAGGGATTGCCATCAGTGCCTTCACTCTGAAAGATCTCAGGCAGGGTCACATTAACTATGTCCAGAGTGTTCATAAAGGGGTGGAACCTGTGGAGGACCGATTCGTATTTCGGTGTTCTGATGGCATTAACTTTTCAGAGAGACATTTTTTCCCCATTGTAATCATTCCCACCAATGATGAGCAGCCGGAAATATTTATGAGAGAATTTATGGTGATGGAAGGCATGAGTTTGGTGATCGATACACCTATTCTCAATGCAGCTGACGCTGACATTCCACCGGATGATTTAACTTTCACTATTACCCAATTTCCTACTCATGGTCACATCATGAACCAGCTGATAAATGGCACGGTTTTGGTTGAAAGCTTCACCTTGGACCAGATCATAGAGAGCTCCAGCATTATTTATGAGCATGATGACTCTGAGACCCAGGAAGACAGTTTTGTGATTAAAGTAACAGATGGCAGGCACTCTGTGGAAAAGATGGTCCTCATTATAGTTATCTCTGTGGATGATGAGACTCCCAGAATGGCCATCAATAACGGACTAGAAATAGAAATTGGAGAAACCAAAATTATCAACAACAAAATATTAATGGCAACTGATTTAGACTCTGATGACAAATCTTTGGTTTATATTATCCGTTATGGGCCGAGACATGGCTTGTTACAGAAACGAAAACCTACAGGTGCCTTTGAAAATATCACACTGGGCATGAATTTTACCCAGGATGAAGTGGACAGAAACTTAATTCAGTATGTCCATTTTTGGCCAGAAGGCATTCGGGACCTAATTAAGTTTGATGTGACTGATGGAATAAATGCCCTCATAGACCGCTATTTTTATGTGTCCATCAGGAGCATTGACATTGTCTTCCCTGATGTGATAAGTAAGGGAGTGTCCTTGAAAGAAGGTGGCAAGGTCACTCTCACAACAGACTTACTAAGCACTAGTGACTTGAACAGTCCTGATGAAAACTTAGTTTTTACCATCACCAGGACTCCCATGAGAGGTCACTTAGAGTGCACAGATCAACCTGGAGTGTCCATTACATCTTTTACTCAGCTCCAACTGGCTGGCAACAAAATCTACTACATCCACACAGCTGATGATGAGGTAAAGATGGACAGTTTTGAGTTTCAAGTCACTGATGGACATAACCCTGTCTTCCGGACATTCCGTATCTCCATTAGTGATGTGGACAACAAAAAGCCAGTGGTCACCATCCATAACCTGGTTGTCAGCGAAAGTGAAAACAAGCTGATCACTCCCTTTGAACTCACTGTTGAAGACAGAGACACTCCTGACAAACTCCTGAAATTTACTGTCACCCAGGTGCCTGTTCATGGTCATCTCCTATTCAACAATAGCAGACCTGTTATGGTTTTTACGAAACAAGACTTGAATGAAAACTTAATCAGCTACAAACATGATGGCACTGAGTCAAGTGAAGACAGCTTCTCCTTCACAGTGACTGATGGCACCCATACAGACTTCTATGTTTTTCCTAATACAGTATTTGAAACAAGGAGACCCCAAGTGATGAGGATCCAGGTCTTAGCTGTTGACAATAGTGTTCCCCAAATTGCAGTGAACAAAGGGGCCTCTATGCTTCGTACTCTGGCCACTGGCCACTTGGGATTCATGATCACAAGCAAAATATTGAAAGTAGAGGACAGAGACAGCCTACACTTTTCTCTTAAATTTATTGTGACAGAGGCTCCTCAACATGGATATCTCCTCAACCTGGGCAAAGGCAACCACAGCATCACTCAGTTTACTCAAGGTATGTTTAGCTTTTTTTTTCCTTATAACCAAAAGCCAGACAGTCCAGCTTTTATTTCCTGAGAATATGGCTATTGCTATAAGTCTTATAAGTAGAACTTGAAATTAGAATCCAAGAGAAGGGAAGTTCCAGACAGGAAAAAGAGGGAAGGGAAGAGTACAGGGACTCCCTTCCCTGGGAGAAGAGCTCCCTTCTTGCTGTATGTCCCACTGCAGTGACCTTCCCTGAAGGGAGTATCGATGTATCTTGATAGTAGCAAAATATTCACTAAAGCTGGAGCCAGACTTTGGTGAATTAAAATTGAAGCAGGGTTTCGTATTCTTTCCATTTGCCATACCTATCCCCTCTGAGCATCCTGTTTTATATGCTGCAGGTAGTTCATGAAGCATTTTATTTTCTTTTTATTTGTTGGTGGCTGGCCCATATGAGGATCCAAACCCTTGACCTTGGTGTTATCAACACCACACTCTAGTCAACTGAGCTAATTGCCAACCCTCATGAAGCATTTTAGCACTTTAAAGAAAGATGTGCTGTCTAAATTCTGTCTATTCACAATGTTATCATTATCACTTACCATTTAAAAAATCTTTCAAATTTATGTTACTTTGATTAATTTTTAAGAGCATTGTTCTGATATTGTTATGGTTGTTAGAAACTTTATGACTAAAAGAAGGAGATTTGTTTATAGTTACTTTGTAGTTTTTAAAAAATTTTTGATAGTGTTTTATGACTCAGGCAAACACCTATTCAAAGATATAAGAAATAAACAATTATCTAGAGTTGTAACAATGATATATGTACAGGGCTTACTACTATGATACCCACAGAAAAGGACAGTATACTCAATGATGTATAAGAAGTCAATGTGTTTACACCAAAATATACATTCGTTTTATTATTAACAACCTAAAGATAGGTAAATAAGAGTAACAGAAGGACGAAATTATTACAAAATTATTTTATCATTTTGAACCTCCTCTCTTCCCTGTTGCAAACACAGTAACAAACATCATTTGCCTCAAGCACCTGCATCATTGAGGTAACAGGGTTTTTCTAACCTGAATTTCCTCTGTGTTTGGACACAGTCTGAGACAGGAAGGGCAGGTGACCTATGCAGAGTTATTCAGTGTCAGAAGGTAGAAGCCCATTCGGTATGCTGGCTTGGGAGTTAGGGCTCTGTTCTCCAGAATGTGTGACTTTCATTACAAAGAGATTTGAGTTGCTTTCATGGAAATCTCACCATGTCAGAAAGGAAACTAGATCTAGATCTATCTAGAAGCCCATTCGGTATGCTGGCTTGGGAGTTAGGGCTCTGTTCTCCAGAATGTGTGACTTTCATTACAAAGGGATTTGAGTTGCTTTCATGGAAATCTCACCATGTCAGAAAGGAAACTAGATCTAGATCTATCCTACATGGGCTCTGTGGGTAGGGATGGAGTTTAACCCCAGGGCATCCCAGTGGGGGTATTCTTTTCCTACAACATTGTTGGCCCTTAGATAACAAATGCTTGAATAAACATGGATGTAGTAAAATGTAGTGTTAAAGTGAACTACTTCTCTGTTTTAGATGCTGGCAAATAGCCCCACACTCTAACCTCCTGATTCTTGGCTGAAAGCCTGAATATATCCTAGGGCCTGCAGGGACAGGAAAACCTCAGAGTGCCAAGTGTCATGCCAGACCAGCAGGAAACTTTTGTGTGAAGACTTTCCGAGGATAGAGATGCCATGCAATCTTAGACTGGTTTATTTTCATGGAAAGTGAAGAGGATGAAAGTAATATATTAGAAGGTAGAAAATGATACTTCAAATCACTCCTCTGGCCTGAAAAAGGAATCTGATTTTAGAGATAAAAAATTTTGGATGAAGATAGGCAAATCATTTCATTTAAATTCTCTAGACCATGTCCAACAGCTCAAAACAGTAAAATAGTGTTTCTTAAAAACTGAACCCTAAAATTATACTATTTTATTATAGGGAATTGTTCTATCTCTCACTGACTTTGAG